TTCAATTAACTTTTTTCAGGTATTTCTTTCCTTGACCTTATAAGAGCTGTAAGATATAGTTTATCTCTTGTTTCCATCAGAAGAGTTTCTAAAAAAGTTCATCATTATTAGCAAAATGTACATCTTTTGTTTTTTGGATCTAAAACATAGACTATATTGTATACTGGTAAACAATATTGTAACTTTACTTCATATATATATTTTTTTATTTATAATATCAAGGAATTCAATGTCATATAAAAGAGCATTATTAAATTTCAATAAACCTTTTCCATGACTTACAGAAGCAAAACACAAATCTAAATATATTAATTGAATGATCAGATTTATAACAATGAAACATTTTCGTACATACTGATTCAAATTATTTAATATAAGAAAAAATCTAGTCTACCTTGTTGTATAGGGATGGTTCGTCTCCATGTATATTTTTTCATATTACCATGCAGTTCTCTAAATGGATCAATGAGGTCTTTTTCTTCAATAATACTTATTAAAAATTTCTTGCCTTTACATTATTGTTTTTTGATTTATAATTATAATAATCTAAGTCAGGATTTTGAACAAGGTTGTAATCTCCACAAATAATTAGAGAGTCATTATCATCGTATCAAAAATGTTTTTAAAGAAACTAGGACTGTCTATTTTTGGCGCATAAATATTAACTAATATGAAATTTATAGAATCAAGCATTATTTGTAAAATTATAAAATTTCCTGAATCATCAGTTTTAACAGAATTAATTTAATATCTAAACCTTTTCTACATAAGATAGCAACACCCTTGGCATTAGACCTACCATGATTGTAAAAACATAAACCATTCCATTCAGAATAAATTTTCTTTTCAATTTCTTTATAAAATGTGTTTCCTGTAGGCAGAGAATATCAGCTTTTTTGACTGAAATAAATCTAAAACATCTTTTCTCTTAATACTATCATGTAAACCTCGACAATTGTAAGAGAAAATATTAAGACTACTCATAACTTATATTTACAATAATACATTCAACACTATATCTACAATATACATAGCTACACTTAAATAAAGTAAATACAATATATACATGGACCCAGAGAAACACCTCTACATAACATATTGACCTCAAAAATATAAAGAAGCTGCTTGTTTATAAAGACAAAAATATATTTTACCCAATAAACAAGTAAAATTTATTTATGGTAGAAAAATGTTTTGTAGAAGATGCAAAATATGTTTATGTTTCATCTAATTATATCAAAAATTGAAACATTCTTGCTCAATTGTTATTTCTAAATGAATAACACATTCAATGAATGGAAATTAAAAATTAGAGGATATCAAAAATTTTCTCATAAACATGTGATTCACTCTCTTAGAGATGAATAAGACAAACAACTTTCACTTGTTGTGGTATTCATAAGTAAACAAATGAAAGATAGAAATAAATATTTTATTTATAAAAAAATAAACAAACTAAATTGTCTGTATATTATTATTATCTAATTATTCTTAATGTTTAACAACACTTTTAAGCCTCTTCAAAGGGAAATGATATTATATTCAACAGCTCAGTAGACACTAATTGTATTATATTATTTAGCAACTCATTCAAACTCCTATATGTTCTTCATGATTTTTACACCAAAGGAAAAATCCGGAGAACTTGAACGAGTGTTTGCATTAATGCGATGGCCTTTAAGCTTTTTTCGCGCCATTTAATTTTTAAAAGCTTAAAATAGATTCAATGACATATGTCATTTGATTATTACTCGCAAGCTGCCTCTCCACATGAAATAGCAATTAAATTGTGTTTGTTGCAGTTCATCCAGTTCATAAAAAAACTCCAGACGAGAGCTGTAAAATATGGATTTGATACTTGTCTTGAATCTTACTGCAAATTTTGGTAAGGATTTCTTTGCTGGTTTGTCTTCTTTTTAATAATAAAATGAACTAAAATGAATAATAATTTTACGTTTTCCATGCACAAAAATAATTGCAAACGCGTTATTTATTGAATAATTATTTTCTATTGGAAAAATTCGGACATAAGAATAAATGAATTATAACTTCAACGAGTGAGGATGTGCGGGGAAAAGCGGGTAAATAACACAAGATTTTTATGATTACCGAAAGAAGAGTGTATAGTTGCCAATTGTCTGTCTGTCCGTCACTGTTATTTCTCTTTTGATGCTTGTCCGGTAAATAGCTATTTAACAATGCTAGTGTTCGCTTCAAGCCGCTTTTAAACACTTTTGTTTGCATTAAACGTCATATCACAGTATATAAATGGGTACGCTAAAACAATGATATGATAAATTTGTTTGAGAAACCAGTAAGTTATTTCTTTTGAAACATTCTCTGTTTCCGCTGGGTCATTGCGTTGTGTAAAAATTTGTTTTAGTTTAGAGCATATAAGCTGAATTTATACCGTCAGAATGTCAGACTTAAAATTAAATTTTCATTTTTTATCCTTTTATTTGATAAAAATGTATATAAGAATCTGTAGAATGTAACAACTTTCGTAAATTGATCAATTACTTTCAGTGAAAATAGTAACCCAGCCAGCATGACCATACGGGCCAACATCATTCCTATTTGCAGCCGAGGTTAAAGCCGACATCGGGCCGTCATAGAAAACCATGTCGGTTTGATGTCGGGCCGATATAGAATGTTGGCTGGGAATGTATTGGAACAAAAATATGTTTATGGTGGTTATTCATATGTTAAGATTATTGTCCATTGAACATTTGGGTCGTTATATATTTTGTTGGTGTGTAAATCAACTACTAGATCAAAATGATGATATCTGAAACATCTTTAAGTGGCGGCATGGCCGAGTGGTTAACGCGTCGGACTAATATTTTTTTAATCTAATAATCACTAGCCGCATGAGTTCAACCCGTGTCAGGGGCAAGTGATTATTTCCTTGATCAAGAAACTTTACACGCGTTGCTCACTACTAAGTGATTTAAAAGCTTATGTCTATAAGCTTAAAGCTTCGTTTATAATCATACTAAAATAAATTCTGTATAAACCAACTTTACTGTCGCACATTTAGGAACAATAGTAACTGTTGTCTGTCATTCTGAATCAACAACAGGTATTTGCGTAAGTACTAGGGATGCAGTACCAGATGTGGCCAACTTATATAATCTTAGTATCAGCAATTTAATATATTCCTTAAGAATGCATAATATTATATTACATGTTGTAAAACAAGTTGTACCCCTTTGACATTTTGTTTTTCATTGTTTATAAAAGGTAGCTAAATCTCTTAAAGTGAATCATTGACATTCAAAATTAAATTGTAAGTGTTCAGGTAAAATTAAAATAACTTTACATTTTGTGCTTTCACATTTATAATAAACGACACTCGAGTAAGCAATAACATCCATGACCCTCATGAATATCTTTACATACCCGTCGGAAATTATCTATAAAAAAGTGTGAGAGTCTTTATATTTTGGCAAGTTTTACATTTTATCTTTAATATTTGTGTTTTTCAATAATTATTATTGTTCAATCATCAGCAATTATTTTGAAAAATACAGCTAATATTTCTCAGCTTGACAATTAAAACAGAATAGGCTTAATATCACTAAAATGAATTATTAAAGACCCTTTTCACGAAATATCATTTACATATAAACTCATCTTCATAATTTAAAAAAGGTCTCTTCACAATTCTAAAATGCCAGATTCATAACTGAAAAAGTCTACTTTCTTTATCAATAAGATGTCAGTTTTATTTCAAATCTATAGTCTTCACGTTTAAATCACATGGTCATATTTACTTTTATATTTGAAACTTGTCCAACAATGGCTCTCAGGTGAGCGACTTAAGACATGGTGGCCCTTTTGTTTATCTCAGTATAAATGCACTTAGACGAACATATATCCAAACAAATAAATAAAGTCTGTCCTGCTATATTTTGCTCTTCAATATTGGGGGAATAAAAAAGTATCGATCTATCTAGTTTTGTACAGTTCAAATTGAAATTGTGGACATTATTGCGCGTGTGTTGTTGTGTGTTTTTACATCACCTACATATACTCAACATCACTAATTCCGCGTCATCACCTTTTTCATGGTAATGGCATATTTTTATGTGACCAGTGTTAAAATTGGTCAGAATTGACATATTTTATTCAAACATCTAAACAACAAAGTTTTTGTTTTTAAATCTATAGATGTTTACGTAAAACAGAACAACATATTACAAACTTCTGCAAAAAGCAACAATAGTCTGTTAAATTTGTACATAAGTCTGAAACAATCATCATTTTCAAAATGTTCTTATTTGTTGAAAAATCAATTTTGAGTCACAATGTAAAGATACTTTTAATGTTTAAAAGTATGCAAAATAAATGTCAAAATTTTAACTGAAACATGAAAAAACTGAAATAAAACAACATTACCACGATTAAAATGATGACATACTGTTTTCAAAACAGCCAACATATGGTCTACGTCTGGCTCATTTAAACTGATTTAGACTAAAAATATTGTTGTTTCCTTGTATCGTACAGCAGTAAATATCTATACGTTACAGCTAATGACAAGTTTTGTACCATAAGTTGTATGTGTCGTTTTCTTTCTTGCTTCAAAGCGTTAAGTACCGTGAACTAAGTGGAGCACAGTATACATACAGTTGGGTGGTATGGGCTTTCATAACGCCATCGTCCCTTTCATTGAATGATTACATTTGGCGAAAAATAATTCATGTGGCCGCTACGTCTAGTATCTCTGTCAGTAATTGTAGTTTAATACTGACCTTTTCGTTTTTCTCAGTACAAATATGCAGAATAGAGCACATAACCAAATAAATGGATGTTTATTAATAAGGCACACACTTCGAATCCGTACAATTATTGCAGAAATGTAAATTGTTACTCTATTCACATGGATAATTGTTACATAAATTATTTTAAAAATTACATAGAAGTTTAAAGTTTTATCTATAATCTGTGTAAGTATATATTCTTGCGATATCAACAGTTTACATTTCATTTTTCAGAGCTCAAAGATGGTTTGATTGAATTCTACAAAACGAGACACAGTAAAGTTTTCCTGTCGCCCCTTTTCGAAGAAAATGACACGCCTTTGGCTTCTTTCTACATAAGACCTGAATTGAACTTAATAATCTCAGCACCGACGAGAAATGATGAAAAAACACAAGTCATTTCATTATTGGAGATGTTTAAATTCGGAAAACAAGCTAACCGAGAAATACATGTTATTGCTGATGCTGGTCTCGGAAAAACTGCATTTTCAAACTATCTGGCGATCACGTGGTGTCAAGCTCATTTTCCAGAGGAAGACATGACTCAATCTTTTGAAAAGGATGATATAGACTGTATGCAGGGATTTGATTTCTTGTTTCTGGTCTGTCTGCGAGATTCTAACAATTTATGTTCTATAGATGATATTATATTTAAAACAATTGTTTCAAATTTGGGTCTACATGAAAAGCCTTCCGAGAATTTTCTCCTTACAATTTTGAAAAATGAAAAATGCCTCGTTATACTTGATGGACTAGATGAATGGACTCACCCCGAAAAAGAATGGACTCACCCCGAAAAGGAATGTCACAGATCGCCGCGATCAATCCCACATAGGAATGATCGAGAAAAGTGTACAGTACTGACCACTACGCGACCATGGAAATTAGGAATTTTAAATCTAAATTCGTGCCAAATAGGAAAAAAGGTAGAACTTACAAAACTAAGTTACGATTCAGCAGTCACACTTACAGAAAGGATATTACAAAGGTTGAAATCTCACACGAATAAGCATGCATTACAACGTGATGTTACAGCGTTCATATCAGGAATCGAAAGTAGACAAAACGATGAACTTACTTCTGTGCCTCTACTTTTGATATATACAATTTGTTTATGGTGTGACGGTGTTCAAATAAGAAATTCAAAATGTGAACTCTATATAAATATAGTAGAGCTGCTCTTATCAAGAACGATTCAGAAGCATGGAGATCTTCAACAATTGTGTGGCATTTCTGATAGTGACATCCCAGAATGCCTAGCTGAATATGAAAACTGTAGGAAATATTACTCACTCCTTATGTGTTTGGGGAAATTAGCTTATACTACGTTATTCAATGAAACAAAAGAAAACACGCTAGTATTTGATGGATCAGTTGCCAGAAAATATGTCACACCAGACGAGATGTTGAAATTCACCCTTCACTCAGGAATGTTGTCAGAAAGTACATCTAAAACATTAACAAAAAGGTTTAGTAAAGTATCATTTTCCCACAAAACAGTTCAGGAATTCTTTGCAGCAATATTTATAAGTTCTGAAAATGAGGCACAGAAAATTGTTGTAGAAAAATGTAGAAGCGTTCAAGACATTCTAGACATGTCAAAAATTTGTGAATTTATAAGTAAAATGAATTCTGATCGGATATGTGCAATATTAAATGATTTGATGTCTGTGATAAATGAAGACGAGAAAACACGCGACTATAGAACTAGGACATGTCACGAGTACATGTATAATAATCCATTGTATGACATACAGAATATGTTCATGTCGTGTTTACAAGAAATGCCTAAAAGTAAAAATATTAAATTATGTTTACAAGTTTTCTTCATTAACCACGACACCGAGCACAGTGAGCAGTTAAAACGTTTGTTAAATCAAAATAAAACCAACATAAAATCACTTTATATAAACACCTACCATACTTCCAGCAGTTTTCGTGAAATTATAGATTTATTCTCTCTCACAGATCTCAGTTATTTACAGTCACTTTACTATCGTGGTGACAGGAAGAAGGAGGCTGAGATTAACCGGATATTGTTTCCCAGTTTACAGTACGTTACTTTGTCGTGGGGTAGATGGACAAATAATGAAGATAATCAGAGTGAAAATATGTCGCGAGTACAAAACTTACAATATTTATATATTAGAGGCTTCGTGTTATCTCACAAAAAACTGGAACCATTTTTCAATTTTATCTCCGGTCACAAATCAATAAAAGAGTTAACATTGAGGGGGTTATACTGTAAAGAACATGGCGACGATGATTGTACGAGATGGACATTGAACTTGTCTCAACATTCAACTCTATCAGAGTTACACTTGTCGAAGTTACCTGGGAGGCTACAATTAAATATATCAACACCGTCATTAGTTAATGTTAAGTTGAACTACATCAATATAGATGAAAGTTCATTGTTACTGTCACATGACATGTTGAATATTGAATATGTGGAGTTGTCAAGTATAGAAATATCTGCAGAAAGTTTACAGAACTTTATCAACGTGCTTGTAAATCTGCCGCAGTCAGTTACAGTAGGGATGTGGGCCATTAAACCAGAAACAGAATATAAACGTGTTAGAGGAAATATTCGGAGATCACAAACATTGCATGTGATACAAGACGGCTACTGGTGGGAGACATTTGAGTTCAAAACAATAAAACCAAGTAAAGAATAAACAAAGGAAAAACATTGTAAAATAAACTGAAAAAATGACTTCAATAATTTTAAATAAAACTAATTTAAATATGGATACTTAACAAACAAAATGGCGACTTCTTCTACGATATACATGTACTTATAGTTTGGTCATTTAATTTACAAACGATTATTTCTGTTTAAAGTTTAATTAAGTGGCAGTATAGATAAATAAATAAAAACATTTTAAGAGGAGAAATAATACAAGGAAGTTTTTTACCGGAACTTAATGGATAACTTGGAATTAGGATTTGGAAATATTTCACAGGTAAGAGATTTTTATTGAATTATTTATTTTTTTATATTTTTTTCATTTTACATATCTAAGTATTGAAAAAGATTATTCTAATTGAGTTATGCTATAAGATTTTCTTAAAATCAAATAAAAAAACTTTATAATTATATTAATAAAAAAATACACTTAATATTTTTGCATAATTTTTTGATTCTTCAAGTAAATTTTATAGTTAAAATAAAACCTTCAATTAACTTAGTCAATTTAGACACATGAATATATGAACACTTGTTAAATACCACCTCAAATATCTTCAAGTCCATTGACATATTGATTTGAAACTTTGCACACTTGTTCACCATTATGACCCCAACCTGTAGACAGGAGAAGGTAACTCTTTCAAGCATTTTACAGAATTATGCCCCTTTATCGACTTTGAATTTACATTTTGCATACCCCCTCAAATATTTTCAAAGTTCCCTGACAAATGACACAAGTTGAAACTTAATAAACTTCTTTTAGAGCATAATAGGACTCAAGTAGGCAAGAGTTTTAAATCATGACGTCACAATCCTACACGTTTGTATTCTGCCTCCTCTTATGGGAATCAGTATACCACAGTGACACATATACTTCAATGTTGAACTAGATAAGAATTTTTACAATTTCGTTTGTACAACATATGTATTTTCTCGTTTCAGTGGCCTTGGGTCAATATTTCAGATTCTCCCGTGACATTTTACATGGAGCACTGTACGATGATATTGCTAAATCAATGTGTAGAAATGTATTTGAAAAACTTTCTCTTGTCTTGGTGAGACTTTTTAAATATCTTTATGGTGGCCAGCCTAGAAACTTGTGTAAATCAACATAGTTATGCCCCTTAGATGAAGTGGAAGTATATTGCACTAATTATCCCCTTTCAATACTAAGAGGAGATGCGCATATCATTGGCTTATTCCGGTCAGACACTTTAACTCAGAGTTATGGCCCTTGATTAGTTAGGCAGTATGCATATAGAGCAAAAATCGTTTCCGTGCTACTTCTCTGCAACTACTGGCTGGAATTCAACGAAACTTTATGGGAAACTTTAATACCAAGAGGAGATGCGCATATTGTTGCCTTGTTCCGGTCAGACGCTTTAACTCAGAGTTATGGTCTTTGATAAGTTATGCAGTATGCATATAGTGGAATAATCGTTTCCGTGCTACTTCTCTGCAACTACTGGCTGGAATTCAACAAAACTTTATAGGAATCATCAATATCAAGAGGAGATGTGCATTTCGTTGGTTTGTTCTTGTCAGACCCTTTAACTCAGAGTTATGGCCCTTGATTAGTTATGCAGTATGCATAAAAGAGCAATAATCATTCCCGTGCTTCTTTTCTGCAACTACTGGCTGGAATTCAAAAAAAGGAGATCATCGCATTGTTCCGGTCAAACACTTAAGCTTGGAGTTATGGCCCTTGATTAGTTATGCAGTATGCAAAAAAAGGAGATCATCGCATTGTTCCGGTCAAACACTTAAGCTTGGAGTTATGGCCCTTGATTAGTTATGCAGTATGCATATAGAGCAATGATCATTTCCGCCCTTTCTGCAACTATTGGCTTGAACTCAACAAAACGTTTTGACAAGAGGATATGCGCATATCATGGCCCTTGATTAATTATGTAGATGCATTTAGAGCAATATTTGCAACTGCTGTATTGATTTCAACAAAATAATGGGAACCATAGATACAAAAAGGCAATTTACATCTCATTGCCATTTCCAGATATTATTACTATTTAACACCGAGTTAATTAAGGTTCTGTTATTACCCTGAATAGTTATTATGTACGAAGAATATTACTGTTTGTGCCATGGTTAATATATAAATTAAGCCTTATGTCTTCAGTTGTTGTGTTAGTAATAACCAGTACTCAGCGGGGGATAAAAATTTGTAAAAGTGGCAGTTTTAAGTAAGATTCGTTTGGACATATAGCGACCACAATTTGGTCGTAATAAGGAACATGTATTCTGTGGATTTGTTGTTGGGATACAAATAACAACTAAATGAATTTAAATACACAATAATATTTTAATCAAGTCACAATTATGAATATAATATGTCTTAATAAATGAAAAGTTTTCCATGCGCAACAACCAGACCCCTACCTCAAGGGTCAAGGTCGCACTTGCTCATTCAAGGTCAACATTGTCTATTTGATGGTATATGTCGTTACCGGTCCATAACTTTCTTATCTTTGAAGGGATTTTGTAAATACTTGCCACAATTGTTCACAAAAATGAGACAATGTGTCATGCGCAACAACCGGTCACCTACCTCCAGTCTATTACAGGGTATATTTTGTTTCCGGTCCATAACTTTTTCATAGATCAAAGGATTTTGTATTTGCCACAAATAGTCACTATAATAAGAAAATGTGTCATGCGCAACACCTGCATCCCTACCTCCAAGTTCAAGGTCACACTTAGAGGTCAAAAGTTAACATAAATTGCTTTAGGGTATATTTTGTGTCTGATCTAGAGCTTCTTCAGGATTTTGAAAGAACAAGGCACAGATAGTCACAATAATTAGACAATATGTCAGGTACAACACTTGCATCCCTTCCTCTAAGGTAAGGGTCACACTTAGAGGTCAAAGGTTAACAGAGTCTGTTATCTGGTTTATTTTGTGTCCCGTCTATAACTTCTTTATAGATCAAGGGATTTTGAAAATACTTGGCACAAATTGTCACAATGATAAGATGATATGTCATGCATAACACGTGTCCATACCTCCAAGGTCAATGTCACACGTAGAGGTTTAAGATTTACATAGTCTGTTATAGGGTTTATTTTGTGTCCAGTCCATAACCTCGGATTTTTAAAACACTTTTCACAAAAAATCACAATAATAAGATGATATGTCAGGCGCAAAACATGGGTCCCTACCTTCAAGGTCACACTTAGAGGTCAAAGATTGACATTGTCTATTATAGGGTATATTTTGTGTTCGGTCTATAACTTCTACATTGTTCAAGGTATTTTGAAAATACTCGGCACAAATAGTAATATAAATAAGACGATATGTCATGCACAACACCTGTATCCCTACCTCCAAGGTCAAGGTCACACTTAGAGGTCAAATGTTAACATGATAGAATTTTAAATTTTGTGTTTCATTTTACTAGTATTTCTTTAATAAATTTATTGTTGCATTTGCAGATCTAGCAATTATCATAATTTTGGAACGAAAGTCCTGAATCCATACCTCAATCTTTTGAAAAAAGCACAATTTTATGCTTCATATAAAACTTCCCCGAGGCGGGGGACGTGGGTAACTCTGTTACAAATTCTTGTTTATTAGAGCATAGAAATCTATGTTTAACTTTTATTGACATGGTATCATGCAAATTATGTTATGCAAACATATTGAACATATGAGTACTTTCTTGATAAGTTGATACAGAAACATATTTGTATCATATTCTATTTTTTCATAGATTTATCTTCCTTTACTGGTCGATTTATTTAGTAGAGTGTGCTTTCTCGTCAGCTAGCTCTTGGTATTTTCACTGCTATAAAATATGTAAATTAACAAACTAAGTAAAATCCATCAAGTAACGACAGTTACACTCGGTATAGTTTAAGACATGCCCATTTTAATGTTTATATTCTTTACTTATTTAAGCATTTCTAAACCGTTCATTAATTAGGCAAAGGAATCGATTTTATTTCAATTTTCTGTATCGGTAAAATATCCACAAGACATTTAATATGATAATTTATTTTATGTCAAAGAGTACAATCCGTTGCAAATCACAAAATTATACAGGATTTGTTTGCAGTTCTTACATAAATTACAATTTCTTTTATTTGCAATATCAGAGGTCAGTGAATCTACTGGTTCAGCTATATGAATTTTTGCTGTTTCCTTAACTGTTAGTCTGCTGGCAGCAACATATTCTACCCTTGCGTCCAATGCAGACCAAGATCAGCCTGCATGTGCATGACAATTTCAAAGTTTTCCCTTAAATATGATGAATGGTTCTGTCCAGGTTGAATGTTTGTCAATTTAAGTAATTTTGATTGCTTAGCTTATTGACAGGAAAAAAATCATTCAAAACACATAAAATTCTTAATATATTGTTAGAATAGGAAATGCCTGCTACATGATGTTATAATTGTGACTTCTTACTCTCCTTTATTTCAGAAAATCAGCTATAATAAATCTACAGGGACAATGAGGACAATCACAACTGTTTGGCTTTTTATCCATCAATCTCCGGATGATTATCAGTGGGATGTTCTGAATGACAAAGATGTTAAAGTTCTTCAATAGTTCAATCTTATGATTTCACACCTGATAACTGGCTGTTCCGGGACATATGTCAAATAAATATGTGATAAACAGTAGCAGAAAAATCCCTAGACCACCATTACTTGTCAATACATTGAATAACTTTCTGGTTACTGGCTTAATGGAAGGAAACAAAATAGAAAACTTTTGCATTACACAGTTATCTTGTATCTGATTTGTACAATTAGAATTTGAATCTCGAAAGACAATTACACCAAGACCACTGTCAAATATTTCAGTATTCCTTTGAAAAAATCTTTTATGTAAAAAAGGTCTTATTTAATAATTTAATTTATTAATTAGATATACGGTACATGTATAAATTTGTTTATACAATTTTAGAATGATATTATATAACAAGAATTGTTAAGTAATTTTTTATTAAAGGCCCATTATGCTTCAGAAATTATGTCAGTTTTATTTAATTTTTGAAAACAGTTTCCAAAAATAAACCCTTTTGCCATATACATAATTTAATAATTATGATGCTGTTTTCATGTCATTAAAGTGAATCAAAATTAGAATGGAAGTCAAAATACTACTTAAAGTGTAATGCCCCATTCGAAGAAGAGGGGATATATTGTTTTGCTTATGTCAGTTTGTCTGTTGGTCTGTACGTCGTTAGACCACATAGTTTCCGCTGAATATCTTGAAAACTGTTTATCACAGAGTCCTCGTATT